GATACTGCTGACAGATGGACGTCTGATTCACCAGTAAACAGAGCTCATGGGCTGTAGACAAGCCAAAGTCAACAACCAAGTTGGCGGATTATGACAGAGTGTAATGACCAGGAGCCGTCCTGGTGCAGGTTTTGTTGATGTAAAGGCCTGAAGTGATGGATAGTCTGGCCACTATTGAAGTGTCATCTCACACATTGCAGCAGTCCATGACAGGAACAGATTTTATGATGAAAAATGACTTCAGATATTGTATCAAACAAAATGAACTCTAGTATGTTCAATGAAGTCATAATTTTATGGTTTTATGCCTCCTTCAACACTTTCCCAGCAATATGAAGACAGTGACCTAAATTTTCTCTTATAGAAGTGTAAAGTAACTAATATGATCAATTTTCTGACATTAACGTTTCTTTGCAAAATAAATTTACTGAAACATTTACACAAGTTTGCCGAAATTGATGATGCATGATAACTCTAATGTGAAACTGAGAATCATTAATTTACTGCTACAAGAGTCATGTTACCACCCACTACTTCAAAAACCAAGCCTATCTTATGAACCATACACAGGCTGTAATTGCTCAACAATTACTCACCATGATTTCAAATTCTTTATACTACATGCCTTCACATAATTACACATGAATTACCTTGTCTTCCTTTCATAAAGGTATCAACTATATCATTAGAGTCGAAATACTGCCACAATAACCACTACCCTGGCCATCTTTCCCCATGATGGTGCAATGTTGCCCAACATCAATGCTAAATTGTTTAATCCCCAGAATCATAGTAATGACCTTTTTACCTCTGCTTAAGTTAATAACACACTCCAACAAAAAGTGCTGAACTACAAACAGTTTTGAGGACAATAGCATGCACGCCATCTGGTTGGTGAAGCCTCGTGTCCCAGTTGGTGTATACGACTGTGGTATATACGTCATACTCCACCACTGTAACAGCTTGCAGTACAATCATCACTGCATGCATACATTTTGTCCTGGTTTCTGTTGACCTGATGTAATCATCTACAACCGCCACTAGATCCCATGGTTGCAGCACTTCATCCCGAATGGTTGCCCTTGTTTATTTGCAGCTGAAGGTCATATGTGACTACTGGATAAGGGAAACAAAACAGCTCACAATGCCAACATTAAAATAACCTCATACTACTGTTTAAGCTTACAAACCTGAGTATGTCTAAACCCAAGCCTCGGTGTATTTTTGTGTTCAAACCATGCCTTTAACTCACAGCTTTCTATCATCCAGGATGACTTTACTTATTCACCTTACTTTCTGGTGTTATCTGAACCTGTATTAGAAACAATTGATAATGCCTAAATGCTAAAATGCTAAATTTGATTTCAAAATCAGCAACTATTATTTTTTAAACTCATACAAATGTCAGCTAAAAGCATATGAAGTGAACTATGCCACTGAAACCGTATCAGGAGCATGTGTTAATGGTGAGTGAGTTAAAGTTTAATGTGGCATTGGTATTATTTCAGCCATATAGCAATGCATGTGTTAATAATCAGAAATACAGCTAAAGTCTAACTATTGTCTGCCATTTCATCAAATACAGTCAATACAATCTTTTCTTTTTCTCATTTTAGTTATTACATTTCTCTTTGAAAGTTATTCAGCTGTATACAGTTCATGAAACAATTGTCAATTTTCTCAAAAACCAGCACTATAAAAATTACACGGTCAGACACCATTGGTCAATTCCAACATTTTAAAAATTTTTTTTGCAAAATACCACTGGTGAACACAACTAATTGTACTCCCCCTAGATCATTTCTAATCTCAGACAATAGACAAGTGAAGAAACAAAAATGATTTAACAAAATAGATTAATTTCAAATGACCCGACCCGTATATATGTAATATGAGCTGCCCACAGAAACACCAATCTGTAGCCAAGCCATTAAGAAACAGAAGCACGATGAGGAGATCACAGGGGGGCTATTGCCTTGGTGTTTAGTGTGAATAAATCATGGGTCCATTGCCCTGATATTAAAGCCAACAGACACTTACATGAATAAAATATACTGATGCTAGAGCTCCTGCCTATTGTTGTCGTATCTTATTCAAATGTCAATCATAAGCACAGGTACTAAATGGCGCTGTTCTAACATGACTCATGTAATGCAGACTTATCTCCAGGAACCATAGGTCAGGCCTGATCAGTTCTTCTAATGGCACCATAGTCTATCATTTAACCAAAAAGATATTTATCAAAATAAATCTGATGAGAGGTTCTGGAAAAGATTTTAGATGAGGCCTTTATTCAGTATCTGGGTATCATGTTTGTGGTTTTGGGTTTATGAGATTAATACTTTTATTTTCCATTGTCATGGCAACTTTGACTGTACCAACCAAATAAGTCTTTCAGTCAACTTGTCATGAAGATGTTCTTAAGTCTCTACTTAAATATCTTTTATAAAGGTGTTCTTAAGTCTGGTTCTTAAGTCTCTACTTTAATCTCTTCTAAAGATGCTATGACTCAAAAAAACCTGAGAACAACTGAAATACTTCCTTCATCAGCATAGGGACTTGAAACTTGCAATAGAAGCCATACATTCAGATATATTTTTCCAAAACATTTTAAATTCAGTCTACCATGAAACCATATACAGCATTACAGAATTCTTAAGAAAGTATAAAGATAAACAGTGACACATTGTTAAGGAGTTTCTCCATTGTAACTCAAGTGACACCTTATGGAGGTGTAGACCAAATACAGCCCTTCTGTAGGTCCATGTCTATAATACATGATGCCAAATGAACAGCAATTATGTCCATTTAACACATTTGAGAATGACCATTTGGGTGTTAATATCTTTCCAGGAGGTAGGTGAAGTGTGTGTATGTTGTCAACATGCTTCAGGGAGGTACAATTTCTGCTTTATGGGTCCACAAATCCCTGACAAATGGATTCTGAAGGTTTAGTTGATGGTCATAAAGTGACCTAGGGGGAGTGGGGGCACAACCTGGGGGTGACTCATGGAGCCTGGGACAATGTAGGTGAATGCTTTATAGAGTGTGGCAGCACAATGAAGAGGGAATTAGCATTACAACCAGGGCATGTATCTTACATGAAGGCTAGAATTACCACTAGAAACGTGTACAGCCTATTGGGTAACCTAGGTTCTGCCAGGAGATAACACGGGGTTATATAGCTAGTAGGGCATTATCACTGTTATCATATGGCATTTCTAATAAAGAGCAGAGGCCACGATTACAATGACTGTGCAACATTTCCCAGCCAAGATAACTTCTGACTGGATGAGTGAAGCTATAACAGGCTTCTATCTCTCCTGTGATTGAGACTCTCGTCAAATAAACATGATACAATTAATAATCTAAAACCAACTTACAATTAAAATCGAACTCTGAAACAAGTTAACTTAATATTTTATCCAAAAGATATAATACATGAGCTGTTTGTTGCTTTCCAAGTGCAATTCACCGCAGATGTTATTTTACAAAGAACCATTCAAATCAAAAATTATAAACCACTACTAAAATGTGTTGCTATTATTACATGATACTACCAAATGGTCATGTATTATTAAGCTGTATCCCTATCAATGTTAGTAGTATATAAAGTCCCAGGCTAGTTAGTATCAGCCACCTCTGACACGGCATGCTGGTAATTGCAAACCTTATCTTGCAGAAGACTTGCACTATCAGAGTCAGGACTTGGGAAGAGCCCAGGGCCAATTCCTCTTCTAAACAAAGGATTTAATTACCCATTGTCTCCGACCACAGAAAAACAATGGAGCCAAGATGAGTGGCTGCTTGACTTAAGGTGTGTGTGTGCCAACTAAATCATGCAGTCCCAGATAAACAAAGCCATGCTGTGGAGATAAGGCGCAGAATAGAAAAAGGTATATATCAACAGTATTTGGGGATGTTTGAGGTGTTCCTTAATACCAGCTTCATAAAATATTTCATAACTCCAAAGCCACTAACGGGTCATCCCTTTTTTCATAACCTTAGAATGGAAAATAGATACACACACACAAATGTTAATCGCAAATGGAATACATTTCTGTATTGGCATACATAAAAAATACGATCCCATGAACTGAAGAACCTCTTATGCAAACAGAATTGCACATGTCCAGATGCGAGCCATTCTCTTAAAACATGTAAATCCGAACTTAACACAATCCAGGGAGCCATGATGGTGAAGAGAGGGCCCTGGGATGACAGGGCCATGGTAACCAACTCCGGCAACACAGAGGTTCCGACAAAGAGTAAGTCGCTATGAAAAAGCGTGTGATGTCTGTGGACTTGATCCAGGTTTCCACTGTGTCAATGTGCAAATCCTGATGTTCAGAGTCAGCCCTTCGATAAATATTAACTTTGGCCCTCACAAAAGCTAGGTCACGGTGGCATCCACGTTCGCAACCACCATCACACTGCCACGGGTTTATTTGACTGTTCCAACAAAACACTAAGGACTACTGCATGTACAAACAACAAGAAACATTAAAACAGCAAACTTCTTTGGCAGAATTGATTGCATTCAACCGAGGTAAAGTTTGCTCATTGACTTATTCACAAAAAATGCAAAAAACGATGACATCATTAACGTAATTTCAACAAGGATACCAAAATATATATTGTATTCATTTTTATTCAGTTTTAAAAAGAACTGATTAAAGAGGATAATAAGAATCTGTTGAGTAAAATTAAATGAAATACTGAAAAACACAATATGCATTAAAGCAGATTAAGACTAACCCGTAGTCTCTGAAAATAGTATAAATTTAATCGAAACAAAAAGATCTATTACGATAAGGAAACCAGCGAGATGGCAGATTCAGAACCTTTGGAGAATCTAGACTTGCTTCATTTAGTGCCCTTGCAATAGATATTGGGAAGAGCAAAATGGAAAATAATATGGTTCAGGGACTAAGACAGAATAGGTTTCACTAAGAGACGCTGCTTGGATCTAACACAGGAACACTTGTAATGAAGCTCACCTGCACAGCACTGTTCAGGAAGCAGTTGTTTTCTCCAGGTGCATTGCGTAAACCCTTGGTCTTGGAGAATGCAATACTGTTGTGTCTGTCCCAGGTGTCATAGTATGGGTTCGGGCAGTTGGCGGGGAGATAACTCTCCAAGTCATCAATGATGGTCGTCATCTTGGAAGGAATTAGGAGAAGCTTGCTTACGTCAAATCCATATCAATCTGAAACACGACAAACATGACATTAAAAATAAACGAAAACACAGCAAGACAAAAAAAAAAGAAATGTGCACAAAAAATGATACTGAATTGTCTGAAGAATGGCAATGTTGATGTAACAAAATACAAACATGAAGAAAATCAATACCTTTTACTGACCAGCCTTTTCCAGCAGTTAATGGTCTCACCCTGCTTTAACTACCCCATTCTATTTCCATCACACATTATCAAACTAAGTGCTCAAAAATAATCTCAATAAATCAATCGGCCATTTATACATGGAGTTGGCACCATGTAATACTATCTGAGGAAGACGGTTGTACTAGCACGGCAAGGTGAGAGATTGTGTGATAATATCTAGGTAACCACATGCATGTATCGTCTATGGTTCCCATAACTGATATCTAAAGCATTGGGCACAGCAAGGGGAACTTTGATAGCCGCAGCACCCGGGCTTAGCATGTTGCTGTCACCTGCTTACAATATTTCTTCTACTTCTTATATTTTCTTTGCCTTTCTATACTACTCAGCAGGATCATTCTCCCATTTCACAAAACACTTATTTCTATAGCCATAAATCTTTTTCCATGATTCAAGGAATGCTATTTGCAGCATAGAGTCTCAACTTTTACAAAATATCATTTATGTCTTTTTGTAAGAACTTTTCTGTATAAATGCTAAGAATTCATATACGCATTGTCAGTCCCTGTTTTCACCAACAAAAGCTTGGAAATATCCTGAAGATTATGTGTGTTCAGCCATTTAATAATTGGTCTTAATGACAATATATTTTTTATATTTTGTACCTAGCGAACAATCATAAAATATTTCTTTCTGTTGGCACGAGCGGTCTTACATAGAACTTTAAGACAAGCTGCCATGACTAAATACTGCCTAGCGAACCATCAGCTAGCCAGGTGGAAGAATACGCCAGAAAAATAGTTCCAGTCCCTTTCAGGTTCACTCAAGCAGAGCTATTGACCTGGTGCAGAACCAGTGAAGCAAGACCTGATAATATCAAGTAGGCCATCCTCACCACCCAAGCTTCTTCCACAAGCAAGTTATCACCTTGAAAAGGAAATATGCTTCATCACTATCATACAGACATGTTGACGTTCTCAGTCCGTGCAGGTGCATCGTGCTCCCATACAACACATGCACCAAGGGCATGACACCCTACGCGTGCCTGTCAAAATGGCTCTAAAAATAACTCAATGACAGTTCTTTATGAGAATCAATCCCACCTGAACTAGCTGAAAGGACCCGGATCAGGAATTCTTAGAACCAGTCAGCTGACAGTTCAGGTATAACATAGTTCAGGTTATATAAAAAACCCATTTACTGCAAGTTCACATGATGTACTTCACTTCTTAAAGCTCTCCACTAGTATATTTGTCAAGACATATATCAAGGGTCCACCCACTCTGACACACAGTGACGTGATGGGATGGGTGTAACACAGACATGGCAAGCGTGGGTTGGCGACGACCGGCGTACAAAGATGCACCCCTTGGCTATGATCTACACTGTACAATATACCATACCCACAGGACAAAGAATCGTCAAGTTACAACCCAACAGTCAACAAATGTGTACCCGGTACCACTCGGTGAAAGCTTTCTGTATGAATTTATTCAACCCTGAAACAACGAGGCGAGTTCTATGGATATACAACTCCTTTAATATTGATATGAGTGACGTTTCGGTGTAGATACTAACACTGTTATCATGCAAATGATGATTATCACTTGCTTGATAACGGTATTAGTAGCTATACCGAATCATCGCTCATATCACTATTAAAACAGTTGTATATCCACAGAACTCTCCTCGTTTCATCACAACAACCTCTAAATGACACTTAAAGAAATTATTCAACCCTAAAAGGATTTTCCCATGTTATTTGTTTCTTTAAGCTGACTGACTGACTGAGTTTGGTTTTATGCCGCTTTTAGCAATATTCCAGCAACATCACGGCGGGGGACACCAGAATGTTTCTTTAAGCAACTAGGTAATAGCAACACACATTTGTCATTAACAAAAACTGAGGATAAATCTTCAACAATGCTGGAATGGCTTGAAGAGAAAAATTCAGATATTCTTCACACATAACAGATTTATTCAGATTGAAAAAACTGATAAACCCAGGTACTTAGTAATTTTAAAAGTAAAAATCCATTGTTTATCCATTTCAATCACTCTGAAAACAGTTAAATATCTATTCTGGCAACTCAATTTTAACCCATACCAAAGTGCACAAATGCAAACCAACAAACCTGTCCCCACGGCTGAATTCTGGAATATATTTTCTCAGGTCAGACACAAAAATCAGTATTACATAAGCAGTATATGTAAGCATTAGTCAAATAACCATGACAACGTATCATCAGAGCTGATAAAGTACACTATGGCATTGATCTGCAATGTGATATTAGCCGTTATCTTCCTTATCACATGCCATACTGACTACCATCACCTGACAACACATGATGTAATCCTGGAACCCCGGGAGATAACAGAGGTTTTATCTATAGAACCTGGTTTTTGGTTATTTTAAGATCTCATGACTTAAAATCTAGAATACCTTTTCAGTTGTTCATGAAGTATATTTTCTATTATTCCTTACAAATATTTCTTCTCATCTATTTTTCATGTGCTGGGTTTGTATTTTTATCTCCACTATACTGAAATTATCACATTCAGGAATAGACGCCATATATTATTTACAGCACAACATACCTAACCTACAGATTTTCTCTAAATGACTATATGTATAATTCACCTGTGACAACAAGTAACATATTCCCAAAATGATCATTATTATTACAGGTTTTTTCAGTATCATAAAACTAATGTTGAGAACTATACCAAAATGGCCCCCAAATGCATTAGACAAATGATGACATTGCTCATATATTAATCACTACTCTTCAGCTGGCTGGATGTTGATACATGTCAAGATTATATATCCCAGCTACGACAAGAATCCTGTGTATGTGATAACACTGAGGTAAAATCAATTACTGTGATTAATAAAATGCCTGCCACAGCTAGTTTGACCAATGGAAATGCTGGAATGACAATTATCCTGAATAGTCAGTTTGTAATTACCTACACGGAAAATTCCTCCCGGGGGATTAAGACTGGACTAACAAACCCTCCCTGACAGGTATGACACATCGTTAATTAGTCAGTGGCCTCGTCATTACTGCCAATTGATCAGGTGATGTGCAGGTCACCTGAGATTGAAATTAATTACATACTAATCCCATCATGACCATAGAACATACCATCGTAAAAATTTGAAACATTCGGAATACCATGAAATACACAATGCCAAAGTCAGATGCCTAGAGGAGGACATTGGCTGAGCGGTCTAGGCGTCTGACTTTGTGTGCTGGTGATTAGGTGCCTGACTCTGAGGGTGTGGGTTCAAATCCTGGATGGGACTCAACCCAACAAAAGTACTAGAATCTGTACTTTACTAAAAAGTGTAATCCCAAATATAACATATGTTACATTCGGAATACCATGCATAAAAAAGGTAATATTTACCTGCAACTAATAAATAATGAGGTAGTCCCTACGCATCTGGTCTGGTAGATGTAGAAATCAGGTAAACATTTACCATGTTTACAAGTGTTCTGTTTACATTATAAATGCTAAACATTGTGACTAATCCTTGTACCCAAATGTACCTAATGTAAAATTATACTAGTGTTTACTTTAAAAAATGTTTTATATTGAATTATGAGTCATAGACAACTTTTAAAAGTAGTCATAATACAAGTACTTAAGTTAAGCTTGGCAGGTTTACTGTTATGGCCAATCTGAAGATCAGGCAACAACAGAATGCACTCAAACCATCCACAGCACACACTTTTGTGTATCATTATCCAGGTAAACGCGGTCGTCAACAGGTGTCACCTGTGTAGTCATGATGTAAATTACAGGTATTTTCAGGTAATGGTCCGACAGATTCTGCTTCATCATGTCTCAACAAAGTGACATCAGGGGAAGTGAAGCAGCAGCGTTGGCCTACATAGCAGGCTTAGCAGACACACACTACAACCCGGACTGATGCTTTTCGCTCTACCTACTTTCTAGATGACATTGTGAAGATGATCCTCACGTAGTTGGACTATGATTCATAGATAACCACAAGAAAGACTGAAAACAGCCATTATTTTGGTTACACAATGACACCATAACAATACAGATGTGCCATTCCTAGTGAAACTGTCTGGATTAAGGAAAATCTGGATCAACACTTATATGTTACATTTCTTTTGTGTTTTGAAGATTAACTTTAGTAATATTAAAGAACTGGTTGTTCTGTAACCTCCTTTGAGCAGTGTCTGTCTGTCTAAATAAAAGTGAGGTTTTTCTGTATCTGCTCCAATAAATCTTACCTGCCACTGTAGCAAATCATTTCACCAATGCTCAGTGTCATTTAACTACAAACACAATATTTGTCATCAAAACAACAAACCAAATTAGTTTGCAGGTATGGCCTAAATGCAATCCTGTTTTTCACATTTACAAAAATACACCTGAATCATCAAAGGGTTTTGTTTCGATCAACCATGTTTGAAAAAAAGAATGATAGCTGTCATTAAAGACAAAACAAATGCGAAGTTGTTTGAAGAAGAGAATGAGAATTGATTGAGAGCGTCTCATTAGGGCACAATTAGTCCTCCACCAACTGCAGATAGCACAGCTGCAATGTCTGTAATGTTAGAGAGACCCAAGCTGATAGTAATCATACTTAGCCGCCTTTCAAACCCACTTATTTGAGTGTGTCAGAGAAGCCCCCAGTGCCTAATCCTTCGGAAATCACCACGTAAGAGGGTATACAATCCATAAATCTTCAACGATAAGAGAGGATAGCATGTCTTGACAAGATCTAGCCTTATCAATGTCAGGGTAGAAAAGTTTCAATTTAGCAAACTTGTATTGGGTTTGTGTTTGGGCTGTTATTAACATGCTAAGCCCTGGCTAACAACAATCCCATTCCCAATGACACTGGTCAAACTTTCTACATGTGACAACCCTATGTTGACATTTGTGTGGGCAAGGGGCCAATTCGGACCAAGTCAGACCAGGACAGAATTATATTCCATATCACATTAGTGCGTGTCCAGGTAGCTTTGTTTACTTACTGAGGCCCTTCATGTCAAATCATCCAAATCTACAAACAACCCCTCCAGATCACATTAGCACGGTTCATGTTTTTTGTGCCATACAAGTCACACACTTTTGTGAACAATATTTCACTATACCCATGTCTACTTTTTGAAGTAATAAGTCTTTTTATCCTCACGGCACTGACAGAGAGGTCTGTACCACTTAGAGTGTCAAACAGAGAGGGCATCAGGGCTCAGAATATAAATATTATTTCTTCATAACCATTAATTTTTTTTAAAGTTTCAACCACATTCAGAAATATTCAGTGACAGATCAAACAGAAAACTGTATGCAGAAACTTGCATACCCATGATAACTTCCCATATACTTGGTATCAAATTCTTCAAAGGCATTTAGAAGTTGGTGTAGCAATACAAGACAAATCTTATGGATAACAACTTCTTTATTTGTTTACCATGACGTATCAGAGCTAGTTCTTGTCCATTCTTCATCCACCTGGAGAAGGGGCAAGAACTAGACCAGAAACGCTGTGGCAAATACATAAAGAATTTGTTATCTATAAGATTTGTCTTGTATTACTTGACATCAATAAATATCACCATTTATAAACTTTTGAAAGAGAATTTCAGGCCTACAGGACTATTTGGTAATCCATTGTTCATACTAGCATATTCATTCCTTGTGAGAGAGTTTGGCCATGAAAATGCGTGAATTTTTTGTAGAACTACTGTGATGCAAATGAACATCAGAGGGTATTGAAGGTATAAAATATCTATTATTTGCATCCCAAGCAAGAAGTGAAATCCTCAGCTATGTCTCTGCACTTGAAGATCAGCATGGAGATTGTATGCTCTCTGCTAACCTGCTCCACACAACCACACACCAAAATCATAAACCAATATCACAAGTTTACTTTGAACTCTATACATGAAAATATGAACCACTCTGCTCATATGCATGATCTTTTGAAAACAATCTGCCTTCAATACCGACAAACACGAAAGCCACAGTTTGAGTTGGCCAATCCTGCGATCACATGTCCCTTGGCCGTGCCAATATCTTACCGGCTTCTACAAAGAACTGAAGTAAACTTGAGACACAAAATAGACCCAATCAGACCTTGCTTCTATCATCTAGCTGCCTGCATGTAATACCCCCTGGAGATTCGTCACAAAATGGGATTTCCATCTTGATAAGGCTGTTTGTCAACTTTTAGTCCCATTCCAACTATTTCCAACAATATACTTTTCTGTCCAATTAACATGAAATTTGATATTTCTTCCAACAGAACCTTTTATCTCTGACTCACAAACTCTCCTTTTCTCAGCCATAAGTAGTCTGTTATCAACAGGTTGTTTTTAAAAAAATTCTGTGTTTTAATGCGACACTTAAAAAACCTTCTCAGCAAGATCAGAGGGATTGGTTCATAACTACTATCGTCCACATTCAAATTCTAAAACCATTATATACAATTTTAATGTGTCAAAATGTCAATATGACCAAGGCTGTGTGTTCCTTTATTAAACACCAAGCAGACAACAGACTATTTTTCAAATTTACATTTCCTACATTTAGATGAAGGAATTTGTCATAAGCCACCTAAACAAACAAAAACACTTGACAAAAACCTGTCTCACTAATTTAAATAAATTACCATCAGATGAATAGATCTGACAAAGCAGCCCACAGATCAATAATACTTGCCCAATTTGCAATGCAGTTTTTGTAAAGAAATGTTTGAACAATGTTCCCCAATGTGTTACAGCAGGGTACAATAGAGAGGTGTTATGAGTTATATAGCTCATGCCCTAACTTGCAATCTCGCTACACTGATAGCCAGCTGACTCATAGGTGTACCACACACCCAGGTTAATTAACCAGATTTCGGTGTCCCCATGCACCTGACCGGCTGTCCAGTAGCTACGCTGTACACCTGGGCTAATTACCCAACCCCAGTCCCCATACACCAGGGTAGCAGCACAGTGAGACTCAACACCTGGGTGTATGTTCCTCTCTTTGGGAATTGTGTGAGTTGATGAGCAGAATGGCTGATGAGGATATGTAGGTGGGACTCCCATAGGGATGCCATATTCATCCTTCAATATCTACCTGTAATCAGACTGCTCTCACAACATGCACCAGGTCAACATTTTACACGTGTACTGGATTTATCAAGTATGTTTGATTAAGGAAGTATTACACACCACACAGCTGATATCACAGGGTTAAGAAAAAGTACTATATATGGTGTTATTACACAGGTAGAAAGGGTTTTTATTTAACCTCCTGCATTTTCTTGAGGATGTTAAACAGAGAGGATGAAATCAATAACCATCAAACAGGAACTCAATAATAAATGTGGACATGGTGAATAAATAAAAATTACGGTCTTATTTCTAGAATGGAACATATACATTGTGAGCATGTTGTGGTTTTAATTTTTAGTCACATACCAAACATAGCCCACTACTTAATACAACCAATACAAAAACATTAAACTACAAATATGGTTTCTTTTGTGTTGCTTATAACTTTATGAACACTTTCAATTCTGAGGACAATTTATGGTACAAAACAAAATTATTAATGTTGCCATTTTGTCATAAAATTAGGAATAGCAACGAAAGTGACGGTTCACCTGCATCATAGTACATGGCAGAAAGATCTAATTTTATATCATTTTAACAAGCATTACTACCTTTTATAAAAAACCATTAACTCAAAACTAAAGGACAGTCCCGTTCTGAAAACTGCTTTTGTATATGATCGACAAAACAAAGTGTAAACAAATGTGAATAAAAAGACAGGATTTCAGTCTACAAAATGCAAATAATTCAAAAGTACATAAAATGGTGATAAACTCGTTTCATTGGGAAATAGTATTATCGACACCTACACGTAGTAGTTGTGTTTCATCTAAACAATATTATTTTCCATCTGCAAGCATGACAAAAATTTACTTTCTGATTTTCTGCTTCAAGTGACCACGTTTTATGGTAAATATCATCAACGTAAATATCATATAATGCACATATATTATAATGAACAGATTCAGTAAATAACTAACGAAAATACAGCATTCCTAAAGAAAATATTGCACAGAAGCGTGTCCGAGTTTTGCGATACAGACTATAGGACCATCGCATCTACCTGGATCTGCCTACCTGGCTTCACGGGCCAAAGGTAGTCCCGGTTCTCAACAATATACGTAAACAATGACCTGTAAACATAACACACGTGAGAAAAACACTGACCAAAATAAATATCGAACACACTGAAATATTCCATTTTGCAGAATTGCCGTAGTTTGTAAGCGATTCGAAAGGTAGTCGTAGTAATTCACCTGAGAGGGCGTTCCGACTACCTGGCATCGGACTACGCTCATCGTCGGCTCGTTTTACCAGGTTTACGTCCTACACAAACACCGCTTCCCACGTGCAGGTAGCGCTTATGAAATACGCTTAAATCACAAAAACACAACTTACCCAATTTTTCCACGAAACACAAAACACAGTAATATCCACTCTCACGAAAGTTGGCGAAGTTTCCCACTTGTTGTGGCTGTTTGATGTCGTCCGCTAATCAACAAGCCCTACTAGCGCCATCAGGGGCTATGCAAATGAGCGCGGAGGGATATCTCATGACTCACGGTGGGGAACAATACGTGACGTAGACGAAAGGTATTGTGTATTGTTTGGCAAGTTAGTGCGCCTTAATACCTCCGTGGGTACTGGGATGCACTTGCAAACATCATTTTTGCATATCACAGATGTTATTTCAAACTGTTATTATCCAAACACACTATATCACATCACCTGTAGAAGTTGGACTTTGATACTCTCACCTGAGCGGGATCCCGTTATCAGGTGGCGGCGGTGATTAGGCCAAGGTGCGTCTCCATTGACGGGGTACACATTACTATACTGACATTTGCGTGACGGGCACACAGCCTTAACCGGCCACAGGAAACGCATTTCCTCTCGTATAGCCCAGTGGACGCTTTGATTGATACTTTATATGTTTTGATGGCAGACCCAGCGTGGAAATACAACAATCCCCGTGTTGTTAGTTGTAACCGAGGATCGTTACGGGTTTACGATACTTTAAGTGCTTTTAGAAAAGATCAATTTAATTGTAAAATCGGTTCATTCAGTAAAAGCCTTCCATCACTCTATGTTTAAAACCTACTGCAAATTATGAAACCTTCAGTAAAATAACCATTTTTTATATGGATTTTCATACCAATTATTGCAGGGGAGTAGGAAAAGGGGGTTTTCAAGACGAAACCATATCTACCTTACCATAACTACAATTTCATTTTGATTTTCAATACTTTTCATAAATTAGCCCCCCACTCTGAAAACCGTTCCTACGCCCCTGTATTGTTCCAAACTTTAGAAATAGTGGGAAAATTAGAAGACTTTAGTAAAAGAAAAATAGATTCAAATTAGGAGTGTACATGAAAAATAAATTATGAGAGTAGATGATAATTTTATATTTGATGAGATTGTCGCATTATCAAGTATTTTCTTCTCGAATAGTGTTTCAAAATAGTCATGGGAAAATCGTTTTAAATAAAACAAATATCTGAATTCACGTATAAGTCAGTGTGTCCTTGTCAGTGTACAGAGTATAACCCCGATCTTCATCGGCAACGTGACATTCAAAGCGTAGTGTTCATTGCGAATGCAAATTTAAAAAAAAAATGTTTATCGTATTTTAAAGTTGTATCCGCACAGCCTTGACCTAATGCACTATTACCCGAGTTGATTAACCACCTTGAACGACAGTGTTGATCTGTGAGTTAGACCGAAGATAAATCGTTGGGAAAACTGTACGCACCATTTGTTTTCTGTTTACTTTAGTTCTAAAAGCGGTAAACTTCAAAACATAAAGCGGGATAAGTCCTACAAACTTTCTCTCTTATAGTCAGTCGAGTAAATATTGACCCAGGGATTATCCGTCATTAAATGCAGCCCTTGTTGAGCGGCTAAAGGTTTACATCCTTACATCTCTTCAACATGCGTTCTGCATAAACATTACGCGTAAATACTGATTACCCCATAGAACGATAAAATTAAAGAGAAGTAGCAATTTTGTCGTTTTGTAAAGTTTAAAACGATTCATTCATTCAGAAAACCTTTTAAATGTCAATCGCGCGACCCACTACCCTCAGTCCACAGCGGAGTCTGTGTGGTTTAATTCCACGCAAACAAAGGCAAGACTGAAAACGGCCATTTCGGGTGGTTTAATGGGGGTTACCATAGTAACCTTTACTCTAATTTGACAGTAATTACTGACTTCATCGACCCCGGCTAATGATTTCATATTGAATTCTAGTTTATACCTGTCTCTACAGAACGTTCCAAATTGTACTCTAAGCTTAATTTCTATTTTTGTTACCGTTTACGAACCTGTTATTTTGGTCATCAACGAGACGGGTCGTCGACCTGAAACCGTTATAATGTTACAGAGGCAAGGTATAATTATGGACGTGAGAAATCAATTGAGCCGTGGAACAAAACACCCTCTAATACTGCGCCCATGAATACACTGTTATTCATATTATCAAATATTACTTTTATTTGGACGCATCAAACGGTAAAATCCGGTTAATCCCAATCCAACAGAAAGTCCAATGTCGTAAAAGTATATACATATAATAAATGCAAGCTATACTCGATTCTAAGTGGACTAATACATTTTTAATGCGAACTATAGTCTCCCCATGTTTGATGGTGGAAGAAGCGAACATGAAATGGTTATTGGACGGAGATGTATCTGCTACGGGCATCACATTCGTGTCTCGGTCCTTTACAATGTTTCTGTGACTGATTTCAGACCAGTAAAGTGTTTGCAACATTTTTAATTTTTCGGCCAAATTAAATATTTAATTGGATACTTTCTTTCGCCCAGCTCTCGGTCCGTCCCTTAAAGGACATATCCATTCACAAATAACGTTACGTTAAAGCCTAATCAGCCAGGTGGACTGAAATAATATCAAGTTATTTAGAGAGATTTATGGGTCAATCTACCCTCTACACAGTCTACGGTGGGGAGTATACGGTGTGACATATAGCAGGGACTTCAGATCTTGCCAAGCCTCTTCTGATATGGTTGCTTGGGACTCGAGGTATGGCGTACACTGTTGTACAATAGAAACTGCCAGTCGGTAAAACAGTACACCCATGTTTGAAGATGGCTAAACCTAAACCAACTTGAAATAGTTGTTCAATGTAGTTGTATTCGATGCAGGTATCACAGGTGTGTTTTGCGTCTTACGTTTTCAGTTTTTCGGTGACATTTTACAGACGAGTAACGTTTTGATGGCGTTTGTATTGTTTCGGTGAAGTCAAAGTTTCAAGTGTATAATTTCTTTGACGCTGCAGTTTACGTATCTTGCAGCTTGATTTAACGCTGGTGCCCCCACCCGTATACACAACTACCCAATCTACCCCAACCCTATCTACCCTTCCGACCCTCCCAGCTGGCCACACAGTGACGGGGCTATTTCATCTACCATATCTATTTGCAGCAGATAACAACGGTTCTACCTGCACGGCTCTGTACTTACCCGTCAAACTTGGGGATTACCAGCGAACGAGGAGAGGCTTGAGAGCGGCCCGTGCATTGTATGGCGACGTTGAATATTTGATGAAGATAACGAACACTGTTTGATTATCACAGTCTTATGTGCTGTTATGTATTATCTTCGTTATACTGGTAAATGTGTCAAAACTGAAGTACTTAACGTCTACACATTATAGTGGCGCTTCCCCCGGTTCATATTTGCAATATTTCCTGGTTTTAAAAAAAGAGGTTTCAATTGAAAATGCTTCCAAAAACCCCTCAAGTTTACCTTTTCGACCAACGATCGCCACATCACTACATTTACCGTCGCAAGTGTAATGCATGTGTTGAAATGACCGGTTTATCATAATTAAGGAATGAAAAGAAATAATGCAATGCCATGTTACCTGTATTCTTCTAAAACTGTGCAGTTTATTAAGTATGCCCTCGTGATCAGATCGAAAGTATGTACATAATGTATAACATGTATATTGCCTTGTCAAACATGAAAATTTGTATCATATGATTGTACATGGGCCGATGGCCTACTTACAGAAATAAACTCATTCATTCTATGTTATCCAATAACTTCGGAGAGTGACATAGATTCGTTATTGATTTAGCATAACATATTTACAGAGGTATTATGTAGAGAAAGTAAAGATTCGGCTTATCTAGAGAAGCCACTCTCTGCAGATAAAGCAATGGTCGCAGGCTCCAGGAGCCTACGTCTCGTGATATATATTCATTCAAAACATACATACACATGTTTTGAATGCATCCCAAATATCAAGGCTCATTTTCTCTACAACAGGGGTTATACCACCTAGTAATGTCACAATTTTGGCCTCGTCATCTGCAGTCTTCAATACACATGTACTGTTACAGGTGTCCCATGCAAAATAGACGCTCATGAAGGATGTTCCTTGCATCAACACAATATAGCATGTATATTTAACCGCTGATATTAATGCACTGAGCAGAAAGCTACAGGCCAGTGAGTGTGCTTTTTACAATCCCCTATATACAAATATGTGTGTTTAAACTATACTAACTTTGTGGTTTAAACTTAAAATTCAAACTTTCAGTATTCCCCAATGGGCCATTACAACACCTACTTACATTTCTTGTCGCAGCTAAAACCGGTACTGCTCGTATGTAACACTAAACCGATAATAAACCCATACCCGTGCCATGTTTTAACTAAGACTTACAAGCATCTGTAAGATTTAAGGTTTTCGTGAGATAAAAAAGATTTAAGGTTTTCGTGAAATAAAACAAACACGTCCTCTCGAAGTATTGATCTATTCTAGGTTGTGTTTGTCTACCTTAATACAATCAGTTGCCGCTGTTCAGCACCCAAGCGTCCACTGTAAGCATAACAAGGTCTGGCTGGCCTTTGTTGTCAGGGCTCATCTTGTCTCTAATAAACTGTTGTTTGCATTGTATTTACTTACAGTTTCTTTTTGACACCTCGAACAATAGGCCCGGCTTGTGTTGGGTTGTTTGTTGTTGGGCGTCACGCTATACCTGGGACGCTGGTCTTCCACAATGAGCTGGTTACTCAGGTGTGTGTAATAGACTACATAGACTGTAGGTAGCAATTGTAGTAAAATGTCTGCTAAAGTGATATGCATGTATATCGGGAAAAAGAAAGTGCACACTTGAGAAGATTCAAGCTTCACTCTGTTCGTTACCGTGTGATCCGTGAAGATCCGGGTTACAATTGGTCTTCAGCAAATCGTACGTGCTTGTCGTAAGAGGCGACTAACGGGATCGGGTGGTCAGGCTCGCTGACTTGGTTGACACATGACGTCGTATCCCAGTTGTGAAGATCACTGCTTTGAGTGGCATTTTAGAAATTGGGAAGTACAATATAGAACAGACTTTATGGATAACAACTTCTTTTTATTCGTGAGTGCGACGTTTCGATACAGATTCGCACTCACGAATAGAAAGAAGTTGTTATCCATAAAGTTTGTTCTATATAGTAGATCACTGGATTGTCTGGTCCAGACTCGATTATCAACATACCGCCGTCATATAGCTGGAGTATTACTGAGTGCAGC